TGGGGGCCTGCGCTGTCCTGCCCCGTCCCGTCCCGTCCCGCCGGCGCAGGTAGGTCGTGGAGGCCGCAGCCGCCCGCGCGCACGTGGGACCTGCGGGCTAGGCGCCCCGCGCCCGGGGCGCCGCGGGGCAGCCCCCACGCGGGGTTAGCGCCGCGAGACCCGCGGCCTCGATCCACAGGGCCAGAGATGACGGAGAGGAATCCGTGGCGTTAAAAACATCCCGACCCGCTGGGTCTCTGCAGCCCCGGCACTAGAGGAGAATTGCTCTAGTGTTTTTCAGCAGTCAAACCGGAGTGAGAAGGAAGAGTCCGCGTTTTCTGAGGGCTGCCCTGGTCCAGTGAGGGACTCCTTGCGCCCAGCCGGGGCTGCCTGGAGTGCGGAAAGGCTGAGAACCACTAGTTTGTAGGGTGTTTCCAGTCTCTGTACAGCTTTAAAGCATGAACCTAGCTCCTCACCGGGTGACGGTATCGGGACCTCTTCATTTCCAAGGGGCTGCGGTTTGCCTGCTGTTCTGGGGAGTAGGTAGAAAGAGGTTTTTTGGTCACTGAAAATAGGGGTCAGTTTGGTTTCTGTGTGGCACAGCAGGTCCTGCTCTGCCCTCCCCATGTGCTGTTGTGACGTGACTTGCCTCTGTGGTGTTGGTCCACTACATCTCCTTGCCAAGGACAGCTGGGATGACTGGGCAGCCTGCTAGAGAGAGAGGCTGGTTTAGTGCTCGGTGTAGGTGGGGCTAGGGAGATGGGGCTGTGTTTGCTTTGGAGAGGAGAGAATGCAGTTTTTTAAAGGAAGAGGATTGTTTCATGTTGACTTTATTCGGTATGTTCTAATCTGTTACATCTGCGCACCCACCACTGAAGGCTGGGGCTGCAGAGGTGTCTGCGAGGGAAGAATTTGGCCAACAAAATTATTACTAAGGGTATGAAGTGTATGAATGTGGCCCTCTGAAAGAGTTTGGGGTTAATATGACAGAATATGTCTAACTTGGTAAGTAAAGCATCTTAATTATTGCAAACCAAGGTGCACCAGAGACCCTCTTCAACGTTAGGAGGTCTGTCTTGAGATTTGGCAGTTCTGATTAGGGATATTTGTATGCATCTTCCCAGAATGAGACTTGAGTGGCCTACAGCAACTCCACCTCCTTCTTTACCAAGGAGGTGTCCTTCTCAAACCTGGCCAGTGCTAGGAAGCTTCAGGGAATAAAATTCATAGCTCTCAAGCACTTCTGTTTACTGTTTTGTTTCAAAATAGACCCTCCCCCATTATGTAAGGGTCTTGGTTGTTTTTTTAGCAGATGTGATCTGGTCTTAGTGTCCTTTTGAAAGCCGACTTGCTAATAAGCAGTGCCCTGAGAAAATCACAATTTCACGGACTGTGCGGAAGCCGTGAAATTCACCCCACGCCATGATTTTTAAGGGGTGCAAACATAGGTGGCGGAAGACTTAGCTCTCTCAAACATGGGGCAGCATGGAGGGCCACAGGGCAGCCTAGGCATGGGCTGCTACAGTGGGTGGGGAGGGGCACACACAGACACAGAGCCTGCAGGTGACCAGGATTGCAGGCAGACGGCATGCAAAGTGCTGCCCACCAAAGCAGGTAAGTTGGGGAAGGAGAAGCAGTGTGGGGTGGCGGGGAGGTCAGGGCCCCCACAGTGAGGGAGGGAGTGGGGCAGAGGCAGGGGTGAACAGGGCACCAGGACGGGCGGTGGGATGCTCGGAGCCTGGGCAGCTTGCTCAGGACGGGGGCTCCTGCTGCTGCTTGCATCTTGGGAGAGACCTGGGGAGCACATGCCCCCTGATCTGTGTATGGGGCAAAGGTGGGCTACATGCTGGGCTCTGCACCCTGCTGCTGCTGCTCTGGGGGTGGGAGCTGGTGGCAGCAGGCACATAGTGTCGCGCAAGGCAGCTGGCTCCCAGAGCAGAGCCCAGCACAGATCGGCAGAGGCAGGATGCTCAGAGCCTGGGCGGCTGCTTCTGGAGCGGCATGCCTGGAGCAGTGGCAGCAGCGTGCAGAGCCCAGTGCACAGTGGGGTGCAGAGCCTAGCATGCAGCGGGTAGCCTACCTTTGCTGCATTTGAGGGGGCGAAGCCCATTTTCCCCAGGACACTGCTGCCTCTGGCTGTATGCCTGCCTGCCGCCCATGTGCGGGTAAAGTATCATTTTCCATAGAATATTCACGGAACTACCAGGATATATTGGCCAAGATCAATGGTAGTTCCGTGAATATTCTATGAAAAATTATACTTTTATCTGCATACATGCTGTGAATTTTCAACAATCCCTGACTCCTCCCCCCCCCAATTCTTAAGGTATTGTGTAGTTTTGAGGATTGCTTGATGCAATATGGTGCATTCTAGAGGCAAGACCATTAAAATATGCTTCACATGGCACACAAATCACCTTTCCTATGTGTTGTATCTAATCTGTTACCCAATTTCTATTTAATAATTTTCCCTATTGCATTTCTTTACTTTTTTCTTTTTTAAAAGTCCTTCATTTTTTTTCCCATTCTCTTGTTCTCTTCCTCCACCGCTCAGCATGTTGTTCATCTTTTTTACTTCTAACCATCAGTTCCTTTACTGCTTGTTTTTCCTCCCTGGCTTTCCCAAGTCTCATCTACTCTTTGCTTAACTGACTTATCAGAGTGTGTTTACCAGTTACACTCGTATAACCCACCCCGTTCTCATGCAATCTTATTCTGATGAGAATCACCATTTTTTGTTTGCAGAAATGTTTAGACTAAGGAATATAAGCAAAACCAATTACCTTACTCTTACCAGAGTAAGCATCTATCGGGAGGAGGGAAGTAGTCATGTGAGATTACTAGGGACCTACCAAATTTACAGCAAAAATAGTGTGTTGGCTCTTTTAATCTTGCATGTTGCCCCTGCCACTGCTGATTAGCAGAGAGCCCCACTGCTCCCTCCTGATCAGCAG